ATCAAATACATGTTGAGAACATGCTGTAAGTTGAGGAGAATCAATGAAGTGTTCTAGACCCTTCTCTGTTTTTAAACGATAAAGTCTTGCACTAAGGCAATGATACTGAATTTGTTTAGGGTAGGGGTAAGTAAAAGTAACCAGTTGTTTTTACAAGGTATTCTGTTGTACTGTTAATACTGTAAAAGACCCTATAAAAACATCTGAGCAAAAATAAGGTGGTGTGTATTTTCATGATCTGATTCCCTTTTATTTATTAATTGCATTTTAAATTCAGGTCTTCAGGTGTGCTTCTGAAGTTGTTCCAGTATCAGAGAGGAGACTCCAGATGCAGGGTGACAGAGAATAGATCACAGACTGATTGGGATGACAGCTCTGTGCCAAGGACGGCTGACAGCAGTTTAAGTTAAGCAGCAGATCTTGGGTACCAGCAAATAATGGGAGCTGTATTTTTCTGTATCCCAGGGCCTCATGTTAGACAAATTCTCTGCCTCTTTAATTTCTGTTTGTCTCTAAACATCCAAGCAGTATGGACTTAACTTTATATGTAAATTGCAAGCCAAATTCAGATCTGGAAGAAGATAATATGTTGCAATGGATTTCAGAAAAACTATTTCTAGTTTGTCTAGCTCTTAATTTCGCTCCTCTTGTTCATAACATTAATAACTTCATAAAGCAGGCTAATTAGTTCAGAGGCTAAACAATTTGCAGAGAAACCAATAGTTTCTTCAAAATGAGAATAGCTCTCCAGGACATGATGTGGTCAACTGACTATGCAGAGGTTTCATGACTTCAGAAAAAAATCGGTGATGGGTAGTGAACCCCACAGCACATTTTTATTCTCCTGGCAGCTTTTGCCTTTGTGAACTGCTGGAGTTATCTTACAGGACTTTCCTGTCCTGCTCTTGGGATTCTTATCAGTTATTGATTGTGTAGTGCACATTAAACGAGTTGTTGTTTAGCAAAAAAATTCATTCTTGGCCAGCACCATATGGGAGTGCTTCTGCAAAGTGTCCCACTTTCTGCATTTCTCCTTTACCTTTGACAGCGGAAAGGTATTTGAGTTACATACACAGAGACTAGCCCCTGTACCTTGGAGACCTTGAAACAAGAAAATAATGCTACATATTAGAAATTCCACCCCAACAACCATTCACAACTTAACCCTTTGTACCTAAGACTTCTAAAGTCAAGGAAACACTGACCATTTATGCTGTTTGATAGATTTTTGTCTAAGACAGTTTCTTGATATAAAGCAAAGAAAGAAACTGAGGGGTTTGATAGGAATGTCAGGTGTATTAAATATATCTTTTTAATCTTTATTTCAACAAAGTTCTGTAAGTCCTGTTAGCATTTTGCAACATAAAAAGGTAAGAACAATATTAAAGGTGAAACTAAATCCAGAGTTTTATGCCCATGAGACCACATTTAGGCCAGAGTCCCCTTCAATTTCATTAGAAAAAGAAGCAAGTTACAACAGTGTAGGTTAAGATGTCATGAGCCAGCACCAAAACCTTAACCCTGCTCCTGCCTTCAAACCATCTGCTCCAGGCTCATCCTACCTCCCACTTTCTGTCATAGTTCACAACCCTAGACATTTGGCCATAGCCCTAAAGCTGACAAAATATCCTGAGCCTCTTCTGGCTTACCCCAACAGTGAAGTACTCCAGTGTGTGCTGGGGAGGCTAAAGGCATACTATAGCATGGCAAGGCATCACTGAAGTCTGGGAGATACCTGGGCATTAACCCTCTGTCTCAGTCTGTAGGCATTTTAAAAGTGGCGTGCTATTTGATATTTAGGATATAAAAAATGTGTCCTCTCAGTTCCTCAGAGCACCCCAGTTTGCTATGCTTAGCAGATAAGGAACATGTCCTGTCTCTAGAACTGCACCAAGGCTGCAGAACTGGCAATGAAAAATACTGCCCAGGATTCCTGCTTAAAGGGTAAATTTTCAGCATATGTTAAGTAAGTTTGTGGGTTTGGGATTTTCATTTCATTGTAGCCAATTGAGGAGGAAGTATCAACAATTATGTTCCTTTTAAATATAGCCATAATTATGTGTACTTTAATGTCCTTTTCAGAATCAGTTTAGTAACTGGGGACTTCATGAGTATGAAACAGTCTCCCAGTCTTTGTTCAATAAACTTTTACAAGACGCCTTTTTTTGTTTCTTATGATTTCCAGGTGCTCATGTGGAAATTTTCATAAATGCTTTTGTTTTACTATTGTAAGCAAAATAAATGTGTGTATAACAATGCAAAGTAACCTGCAGATATTTTTGGAGCTTCTGCATTCGGTAGTCCCATGCATCTCCGGATGTCACTTATCAAAGCCAGATGTTCTTTATATATCACTGTGTTTTGTATCAATGTCTATTTAAAGTTAAACTGAGAGCAACCAAAGCCAAAGGAGCATGCTTTGATTTAAATAAATCAAAGCATATCACAGTCATAGTAATTAATAATCCAAGACTGGAGCAAACATGACGAGTAGGAGAAATCCATTCAGACAGGATTGGTTTTGTTTCTTGCTGCTTTTCTAAAGCTTATTAGAAGCAGCAAGTCTTTGATTAAGCTAGATCTACTTCCACAAAAATCCCTCAGCAACAGTAGATATTGAGAGGCTCAGTCCTGACAGCCTGAGCAAACAGCCCATATAAATCATGGCTGGGGTTTTGATTATAATGGTCCGTTATTTATGACAGGTCATAGAAAGCAATTCTTCACTTGAATAATTCTCAGCATTAAACGGAAAAGCTCCTGCTAATGATACAGGATGAGGTCTTGAGCTGTAATTATGTTACTTGCATCATGTATCAGGCAGCTATATTAATGAACCACCACTCAAGCAATTATAGCTGCAGGAAAGGGAGCTGTAGATTATAAAACAAACTTCAAATTGTACTGGGACAGCAAAATCAATGTCTGGTTTTATTCCTGTTAAAGTTAGTATATAGTTAGTATTCTGTGTGCGTTCAACCAGAGGGCATCTTCTTTGCATCTTCTCCAGCATACATTTACCACAGTACCAAGTCTGATCTGCCTGAACTATGCCATCTGAAGAGGTATCACTGCAAGAGACAAAAGTTCAGAAACATACTTAGGAAATGACAAAAGAATGTTCTGTTGGGAGGGCCCATCTTCAACACAGGTGTAAGGGAATCACTGGAGAAGAAAGTTACTGGTGGAAAATAGCAGAAGATTCAGCTTTATCTTTGGAGTAGGTGAGAAAGTCCCACCAAAACTTTCCTCTCTTTCTACTGAGAAATTTTGCTGTAATAGTGAAAGATATACTGCACATTTTTAAGGAGAGAACACATTTTCTTATTGCAAAGCTAATGAATATTTGTTCTATTGTCCTGGTTTAAACCCAGTCAGCCACACAGTTTCTACTACCCCCCCCTTCTTGCTCCTGGAGGGATGGGGAGGAGAACTGAAAGAATGTAACTCCCACAGGCTGAGATACGAACAGTCCAGTAACTAAGGTATAACACAAATCACTACTGCTGCCACCAATGATAATAATGATAAGAGAAAATAACAAGGGAAGAGAATATAATACCACCCGCCAAAAAGAGCCTGACCCCAAAAGAGAGCCTATGCCCTTCTGGGTAACTGCCTCCAGTTTATATACTGGGCATGATGTGCTGTGGTATTGAATACCTCTTTGGCTAGTTTGGGTCAGGTGTCCTGTCTCTGCTTCCTCCCGGCCTCTCCTCCTCCCTGGCAGAGCATGAGACTCACGAAGTCTTATGGACAATCTAAACATTTGAGTAGTAACTAAAAACATCATTGTTATCAGCTCTATTCCCAGGCCGAAAGTCAAAACACAGACCTGCACCAGCTGCCAAGAAGGAGAAAAAAATGACTGCTACTGCTGAACCCAGGACATCTATTAAATTCTAGAGTGACTATTCCATTTTCCTGTACATGTAATTATTTTGAAACTATTTATATATATATTTTTAGATACTTGTAAACATTCACCAGTGATTTGAAAGATCAGTACAATGACACCACTGACATTTTATCAGTATACTTGAAGACTGGCTTTAGGAAAAACCTCACATCCACAGGACAAAATCCTGCCCTCTGCTGCATGCAGAAAAGGGCTCAATGGGATGAAAGCACGCAGGTAGTAATGTGGAGGCATTAAGCAATAAGCTTGTCACTTTTTCTACAGGCAGTAGGCTGATCATGTTTTCTACAGTATGTTATTCCTTTGCCTTTCTCTGCTTCATTAGCTGTAAACCAATCCACTCATTCTGAACACTGCAAAACAAACATTATGTTTTCAGAGAGGATGGCTCAATCAGAAACATTCATAAAATTTAGGATGGTATAATATTAGTGAAAGCATCAGTATAAACCTAAGGAAAAATAATTGTGGTCAAAACTCTTTTTCCATCCAAAATGTATTTTTTTAGATTATCCAAACAATTATGCAAATTGAAAAGGCCAAAAAAATGGGAAGTTTTGCCCACATTTTCAGATCTTTTTCAATGCTTCACCTTTTGTTCAAAAAGGACTTCTCTACCTGATGCCAGCTCCAGTCTTGACTGGCAAGCATTTTTTTTCCACCCCCATTCTCCTTTAACAGCAGCTCTTTGCTCATTTGCAGATCCAAAGCCAAAACCATTGGAAACAAGAGTCATTAGGTAAAGTGTTGGTAAAGTTTAGGTTTAAACTTGTTATATCCATACCCACTAAAGCAGAAATTAAAACTACTAAAGAAAGTATAACTGCACTTAGTTTAACTAATTACTCAAATGGCAAATTTGATGCATCTATTTGTTTTCCCCTTACCACTTAGATGGCAGTGCCTCTCTCTATTAGAGATTTCAGTCATTCAGGGACTGCCATGATGTTATATCTCTCAACACAGCATGTACCATCATGTGGTGTGGATGGGTGCATGTGGTCTGTCTGCTCTCCAATGACTGGACAGGCACCCAAGGGAATAGGGGAACAGACAGCAGCTTCTCTCTTCTTTTAATCAGATGCTCAGAGGTCTGGTACTTATTATCTTCTGAAGAAAGGGCACAGGTTTTTGCAAGCGACTTGAGCTCATATCAGCACTGAGATCACAGTGCATGATGTAAATGGTCAGTTCAGAAAGACAAATTGTCTTGAAAAAGAAAACGGATGCAATGCTCTGACCCTCTGGCTTAATTACCTTCTGCTCCCAGTTGACAGGCTGGAGTTTAGCAGGCAAAACATGAAGCAAGGCAAATGAAGATGCTTCATGTGAGAGTATGACGTAGCCCCATCTAAGGCACGAGATGATATATTGCTTGCTGAGCTGACTGAGAAAACAACGGCGCCTAAATAAAGCTGTGAATCATCCTCCTGTCTCACACCACTTCCACTGCAGTAGCTTCCCTTCTGAAAAAAAAATGTGGCAAATCCTTTGATTGCAAATATTGCGAATAAACATGTCAGTCCTGGCAACTCTTTGGACAGACGGTAGGTAAGTGGGTACATGTCCCCCTAGTCTCACTAGGGAGGCTGCTCCCTTGCAGTGGTGCTGGATGGGACCATATCCACTACTTAATGAAAGTGAAAAAATATATTCATCCTTGTTCTGGTTTTGATGCATTCCAGAACGTGAAATGACTGATAATTTTCTGAGCAGAAAAAAAAAGCATGTGACATTTAGCTTGATTAATGGCTAATGATGGATACGAGTGCTGCTGGTAGTGTGACTAGGGCTAGGTTTGACTCTTTTCCTTCAGGGCTTGCGGTGTAGGCTCTTAAAGCAGGAGAAATAGCTGAAGGAAAAAACTATGAAGTTAATTGAGCCAGCCCTGACTGTATCAGGAAACCTGACGCACTTTATTTTTTTGGTGGATGCACTGAGTAAAAAAAATATATCCCTAAAGGCTTAACGTGCATACTTGTTTTCTCTGTTTTTCTCCAGAAGGTGCAACTTCCCAGTACTTGAGCACATAATCATTTAATTTAGTTGGGGGATAAAACAGGATAGTGGAGATACCCCTAGCTGCAATCTACTCAGTCTTACCTAGTCTACTGAAATCAAAATGTGGTTCAGTTTATGTTTCACTTAAATTCTGAAAAATGGGGCAAGGGGGAAGTAAAAGAAACCCTAGAGAACAGGTGAAAAACATGCACTTTATAAAGTGTGTGGGGGAACTATATAGACATAAGTCAATAAATAGAGTGCCTGTTTGTGCTGGTGTGTAGTTTGAGAGGTGTTCTGCACTCCCTGAGGTAGAAAAAAATGTAATTGTTTTTCTGTAAACTGTGTACCTTGGACAAAAACAATGTGATTTGGAATGGCAGTGACATACACTTTTCTACCCTAAATTAGCAAGCAAAGTCTGTGAACATGAAACAGACTTTGCCAAATTCACAAAGCCCTAAATACTGCAGAGTTTGACCATCTCTAAATTGAGCTCCAGAACCATGTAAAGGGGCTCCTTCCATGATGCAGTGTAAGCCCAAGATCTGGAGATGGTATTAGAAATATTAATACTTACTGAATATATGACAGAGATAACTAGCGGAAACTTGGTAGCTCCATCAGCTATGAGGTTTCAAAAAAAATCTAGAAGAAATGCTTTTTGACCATTGGCCTGTTGACAGAGATTTGGCTGAATTTTCAGACTCTGAAAGCATGAACATCCTAGAAGCCCCTTAGGAACAGAGTTAAGTTTAGTACTATAAACCAGCTAGTATAGGCTTAAGGAAATCACAGCCTTAGCGGTACAACTCTAAAATCCAGCAAGCCATGAACCAAGCTGATAAGTAATTAAAAATGTTGCAGAGACTTATAACTATAAACTTACTGCCTCCTGTCTGATGATGATACCCTCATACTTGGTGAAATCGTACTTTCAACCCTGGGAGCCTCACAGCTTGTTGCACAGGGTGCTCTTTCTCTGCTCAGACAACTGCATGCTTTTGTAATCACAACTGCAAGCTAAATGTGGTGTACCCTCTTTACAGACATTTTGCCCATAGGCTTTCTTGCTTTAACATGGGACTGTGATGTATTTTTTTATGTACTATGAATTCATTAGTGGAAGTCAGCAAAGACTTTATTTCTCCCTTTATTTCACTGAAGGAATATCAAAAAGGACTGGATGAAACTGTTACACACTGATTCCCCTATAGGTCTTATAGCCCTACATGATTAGAAGGAGCTGAATCCAACGGTTTGGAAGAAATGAGAGAATGCTTTTGTTGTTTGAAAACATGTTGACTGCCACGGTGAAGTCAAGCTCAGAACTCGCTATTTAAACATGCTTTTTTTAATGTCTTCACAAAGTCACTACACATATATTGGAGCTTTTGGCAGTGAAGAGCTGCAGGTAGAAGAGGTCTGAGAGTTTGACAGCAGCTAATCTGTGGTCTTAATTTAAAACATGATCAAAGATACAATTTAGAATAAACAAAATTGCTTCAGCAAAGCCATGAAGTACAAGGAATGGTGCCTCAAAGAGGTGCAAGGCCTGAGCCGGTCTTTCAATAGTTTCTTAAACCATTGACCATGCATATAAATGTAATTTTACCAAAAAGCTGTTTGATTTCAAATTCTTTCAAAAGCATGATAGTCCATGGTTGCTTAAAAGTTTGTTCCAAAGTTACATTAAGAAAATGTATAATTAAGTAACAGTTTAATCATGATAGGTAGTGGAAAATAAGCAAATGAGCATAAGGAAAATAAGGAAAATGAGCAAAAAAGCCATCATCACATGTTTTGTCCCCTCTCACAAATTGTCTGATTTTCAAACTGTTACTTGCAGATGTTACTTGTTGTTCCCATTCAAGACATTTGACTGCTAAGATGGAAAATCCCAGCATTTGAAACCCCAGGCATGTTTATTCTTATGCCAATAATGCAAAATGGCATATTGGATGCAAGTAGGAAGAAGAGTCTCCAAAGGTGTAGGACTGTATAAATGATGCCATCGTACTGAAGGACAAGGACCACTTTGAGGACTTTTCTTATATCACTCCAGCTTTCTCCTTCTGAGTGCAGAGTGCAAAAAGCCACAAATTGATGGAACTTGCCAGCTTAGGGAGTAAATTGGCAGAATGAAAGACATTTGTTGAATGCTGCCTCTGTGGTAGAGGGAAAACAAGTGTGATAGAACAGTCAATGTGAATGATCACAGGAGAAATTTAATATATGTGACTCCATGGTTTTGGCAAGTTATTTATTGCAGCAGTGAAATAGATAACCCACAGTTACAGTCTCAAGTCTTATCAACTTCTTTTATCACCAGTAATAAAGGCAAAGCAGTGGCCCAAGTTGAGTTTATTTTATTTTATTTTTTTTTGTGTCGCTATTCCCAGGAGAAAAAAAGAAGCACGCTGCTTTTGGGAATTAAATAGGGGTATCACACCTAGAGCAAGGGAATGAATTATTTTTTTCAAGTTGTTTACTGCAATTTTGACATACACATACCCTGTAGAAATCTTGAGTAGGAAAGCAAAATGGTGTTGTGGTTTAAACCCAGCCACACAGCTCATTCACTCACTCACTTCCCCCCCTTCCTCCCTCTTTCTTTCCTTCCCCCCCCCCCCCCCCCGAGGGATGGGGGGAGAATTGAAAGAATGTAGCTCCCACAGGTTGAGATAAGAGCAGTCCAGTAACTAGGGTATAACACAAATCACTGCTGCTACCATCAATAATAATAATGATAAGAGAAAATAACAAGGGAAGAGAATACGATACCACCCACCAAAATGAGCCCGATCCCAAAAGAGAGCCCATGCCCTTCTAGGTAACTCCCAGTTACCTCCCCAGGCATGACGTGCTGTGGTATGGAGTACCTCTTTGGCTAGCTTGGGTCAGGTGTCCTGTCTCTGCTTCCTCCCGGCCTCTCCTCCTCCCTGGCAGAGCATGAGACTCACAAAGTCCTTGGTCAGAGTAAACATGACTTAGCAACAACTGAAAACATCAGTGTTATCAGCGCTATTCCCAGGATGAAAGTCAAAACACAACACTGCATCAGCTACTAAGAAGGAGAAAAAATCGACTGCTACTGCTAAACCCAGGACAAATGGGAAGTATATCAGAAAATTTATCAGATGCCTTTGTGTGAAAGTTGGAGAATGGACTGATTTTCCATCTACAGCTGGATTTCCAGGGGTTTGGGATACATGATTATGTTAGAAATGTTTCAGTGATAAGTTGTTAGGAGAATGAAATTCTCCTTCCTGTACTTAAATTGGGTTATTAGAAATTGTTAGAAATCTTGAAAGAAAATAATGGCCACCATTGAGAAAACACACTTTTTCCAAATTTTCCAGAGGGCTTTCCTCTCAGAACTGCACAAGCAAAACTTACTTACATGGTGTTGCATTTAAAAACAACAAAAAAGTGGGGAAGCAGAAGCACATTATTAATTCCCATTTGGTTTTGCTTTCATCTCAAAACAGAAGAAAGATGTTGATCAAAGAGGAATCTTTCAGCTTGCTTCCAGCTTTCTCAGTGGAAATGGCAGAATTTTGCTTCTGTGAGAACAGTGCAGATTTAACCTGGTTAAATCTGTGCAAAGTGTGCCACCACAGGTGTGGCTGGAACTGAATCTGCTGCCAACCTAGTATGACTTTCTTAGTCAAATGTTTTTCAAGGGCACTATAGGAATAGAAAAGAAGAAAAGGAAGCAGAGCTTTGTATCCTGAGCTCTGAGATGGGGTATGTGTGTGCTCAAATACTCATCATTTTTCTATATAAAACCTCTACAGTTTAGGCACTACATCCAGCATAGTTGACGCAATATGTGGCGAGTGGTTTTATACCAGATAGATACTGTTGAAAGGCTGTGAAAAAGTTGGTTTATGAAGGAGGTCCATCAAGAGAGAGTGATGGGCACTCAGAAAGACTGCAGCCTTTCTGAGTACCTCTATGAGGTATTCTATGAGTGCCCCTGTTTGCTCTATGAGACCGAGTTTTGCAGGTTCCCTCTAAAGCCAATACCAAAAGAGATGACAAAAGTCCTTTCCCTGCAGCACATCTGGCTGTAGCTAGACTACTTTATAATACATGACAGTGGTATTGCAAAATTATGTGATTTCAGGTATGTTGGGGGTCAAAAAGAAAAAAAACAGAAGAAAATCTAATCACACAAAATTTCTTCTTTTCTTAATTTTTCTCCGAAGCATGGAGACTGTCTGCACTGGAGATAATAAAAAGCAGGCTTTGCATGAGCCCTGATTCTGTCCAAATTCTTCCCTTGACCTAAGACTAATTAAAGAGGGGTTACGATTTCTATTTCTATTCATCTTTCTATTTATCTTTCTCTTTCTATTTATCACCTTTATCTTTTTAAGTTATTGTTGTTGTTATTATTTACAGGACAAGCTACACCTATCGTATAAATGGTCCTTTTCCTGAAAGGCCAGAGCAGGCTGACAAGTTGTTTCCTCCTTTTATACTGACAGCAGTAGACGTCAGAAAAAAGATCTTCCTTCAACACCACAAGCCCAGAGCAGCTCTTGCCCTGTCCTTGCACATAACAAGAACATGCACCATCTGAATGCTGGGGAAAACAGCACACTTGAGCTTATTTTGAAGCTCCTTTATTAACGTTTGCAGTTCACTAGTTGCTCTGCTTCCATCCCCTATAAGGTTTTCAAAAATTATCGCTGACTGAGGACAGCAGCATCTCATCTCCTATAAACAGCCACACTTAACAGAAGTGTTTCCATCCAGCATGTCCTATCTTCCCTTGCCACCCAGCTTCAGTTTAATGAAGCTGACATGTTTTCAATTAGTTTTGTACTGCACGTTTGAAAATATAACCATATATTTCAAATCACATGTAGAATTCAAGCTGAAATCCTGTTCACAGCAATGTGATTGGGTTTTCTTTCTTCCATGCAACTCATTTCCTTTTTTCCCAGCAGTCTGTCCTGCCATTCCTTGAAGTCCAACATTGCTGTGACAAGCCAGAAAGAAGTGAAATGCTTTTACACTACTTTATTTAGCTTGTTAAATTGTTTTACAGGATGCCCAGGAGAATTATTGCCTTGCAAGTCACTGATGCTTCATCTCTAAATTCTGGCCATGCTCATGGCCAGTAACATACCCCAGAGCCATTTCCTAGGTTCATGGAGCACATCATTGCTCTTCTTCTCCTCCATAAGGTGGTGGAGAAAAAACATGGAAAGACGGATTCCTATCTATCTGTGCCATTTGATTCTACTGCTCAGCCTTAGGCTTCCACATCCTTAAGGACGGTTTAAGGCTGCCATGGGAATGGATGTCCATGCAGGAGAGGTCTGTCAAGTACTAGGCAAAAATCAGAGGTTCTCCACAGTTTTTTTTCAGGTATTTTTACTGGATATGAGCAGTGGAAACTGCCTGCATGCCTCCTGTGGGGCCATGCCCTACACCTTCCCACCCCATATCTACCACCTTTGGTGTCATGAACGTGATGAGGCATGGTGGTAACTAGCTCCCCATCTCCCCCTGAATACCTGCAGGGTTACATTTTCAAAGTGAAAAAGGGACTGAAGCTGAAACATGCAGCATGCTAACTACTTTCTAAGCAGCCACAACACTTCTCTCCCCATCATCTTGCAGAACAGGGCCTGTGCAGAGGAAGTCACGCCATAGCCCAAGGACCAGATCAAGTAGCAAAGTAAAAGATGCCTTAAGTATCCCTCCCTCCTCACTATGCAAACTCACACTTTCCACTGAAGAAAAAGGCAGAAGGATAACTGTGCTAGGAATCCACAAGCTCACTCCCCATCTGAGCGAGTGAATCCTGCCTTTAAACCAAGGCTTCCACCAGCAAGCTCCCTGCCGGATGTTGCTAGACACCGCTCCTTAACGAGACTGACGTGTATTTTTAATGTGGTAATCTTCTGGCTCTGGCAATTGTACAGACACAGAGACTACAAAAGAGTCACTTCAATGCAATGAGCTGCCAATGAGCCTCATGTCAAAAAGCCACTCTGCCACAGGGACGAAGACATTGCAAATAAACACTTCTGGGGAACTCTCTCTCCTTAAATAACACATTTATAGAGCATCCAGATGTTGGTTTAACACTTAACGATTGTGGGAGAAAACAAAGCATTAAGGGCTGTGTTTGGTTTGGTTTGGTTTGAGTTGTGTTTTTTTTTCTTTCTTCTCTGTGATCTCATATATTGAGTGTGTACAAACAGATATGGTCTAAAAAAAGTATAGGAAATTCATATATATGGATGGATGGATGGATGGGTGTGTGCCAAGCTAGTTATTGGTCTGTGATAATGTTAATGGGTCCTGTGAGGATGGAGGTAGAAGGATAACCCTGCAAGAAGTGTGGTCTGCAAGAGGGAGAGACATGTCTTTGCTTTACTTTGGGAGGGTCACAATGAATCTATCTTACCCAATTTATTTCCAGACTGGTTGCAAGAAAAACAAGGGAGGTGGTGGGGCAAATAACCCCCAGACCTCAGTAATGAGGTGCCAAAGATACTAAAAGGAGATTTGAAAATTGAGGAGTAGGAACCTGATGAAGTTTTATGGTTTTGATCAGGGCTTTGCAAATTGTACTGCGTGCTCATCTGGTCCTCCAGGGGATGGGTCCTGACTTTAAAATCAAGGTGTCCCAGAAGGTCAGAGACTGTTTGTGAATTGAGTGTGCGAACCCACTACTTCAATCCCACGGCTTGAACACCAGGTCCACCAGGCAAGCCTGATTGATAGGCACCCAAGCCCAGCTGAGGGCACTTCCCCAAGCCCCAGCAGTTCCACCCAGAAAAACCTGAAAACATTTCAGAGAAACTCGTTGTGGTCTTGGGGAACCATTCTGAGTGAGAGATGAGTTTGGAAGTGAAGGGAAAGAGCTTGTGTTTTTATGTGTCATTTCACAGTGAGACATGTAGAGGAAATCTGGCTGCTTAATCCAGACTTCCTCCTGGCATAACCTATCTTTTGCTCACTGTTGTTCTCCTCACTTCCTTTGTTCCTCTGGTGGGGGAGCCCTCAGTATCTTACACAGCTCTGCTATCAGGGAGGCAAGAGTAGTTCCAGCTGTTGATGCCGGAGATCAGACTGCCTTCCTGCTCCTCTCAGGAGCCAGGGCAGCCTCACCTTCCCAGCCATTTCACAGCTCCCCAAGCTTTCCCTGCTGCTCTTGTTGGATCCTTCAACTGCAGAGCGTGCAGTCACATTGGTAATGCTGAACAGTGTCTATTTCTA